TCTGATCTATTTTACTCGTTAATGAATATAAATACATCTGATATTCATACAGTAAAATAGATTATATTACTGTATGAATATCAGATGTATTTATATTTTTTAACGAGTAAAATAGATCAGATTACTGTATGAATATCACATATATTTGTATTTTTTAACGAGTAAAATAGATCAGATTACTGTTTGAATATCAGATATATTTGTATTTTTTAACGAGTAAAAAGATCAGATTAATGTATGAACATCAGATATATTTCTATTTTTAACGAGAAAAATAGATCTGATTACTATAAATATCAGATAAATTTGTATTTTTTAACGAATAAAATAAATCAGATTACTGTATGAATATCAGATATATATTTTTAGCGAGTAAAATAGATCAAATTACTGTATGAATATCAGATATATTTGTATTTTTTTTAAAGATTTTATCAAACGTCGAAATAAATTTTTGTTGTTTAAATGTCAAAATAAAGCTGCTTCTATCTAAGCACGGTAATTTTTACCGAAGTGCTTTGGTAATGATTTTGGTGAAATTTACAATAAAATATTGTTTTATATTTTGTCACGATACTTTGGAGAATGGCATGAAAACCATTTACTTGGTTAAATTTACTTTTAAGGTTTGTATTTGTACTAAATGTGAAGTATTAAGAGCTTTAATTTTTAAAAACCAGAATTTCCGATAAACTATTACCATATGAACGGAAACCGTTACCATATGAAAGGTTTAAGTACCGTATGATTTGATTTTACTACCAGAATTATTGTTATATTAATCATAAATGGCCTTACGATAAAGTATTGGAATTTACAGGAATTTTTTTCTCCCTGCACTTGTCATCAGTTAGTTTTTAGATAGCAACTTGAAAATTAATCGATTGTCCATAAATATCCATACAAACAATTCATTCTACAGTTATAAACTCATTATTGTTGTTACGTTATTACTCTTGTTGTTGCTGTTGTTATGTTATTATTCTCATTATTGATGTTGTCATGTTATTATTCTCATTATTGCTGTTGTTATGTTATTATTGTAGTTGTTATTATTATTCTTATTGTTGTTGTTGTTATTATTGTTAATATTGTCATTGCTGTTGTTATCTTTATTTTTATTATTACATAATCCGCATTTTTTTCTGTTTTGTGATGGGGAAATTTTAAAACTGATTTTGTTTATTTCTGTTATGATGAATCTGCATAAAAATTTCAAAGAACAACAAATCTTTAAAAAAAGTTTATAGGGAAATAATTTATTTTTTAAAAAAAATACCCTAACATTTAACTATCAGACGACGAACTCAGCATGTTTGCAAAGCTATTTGAATGAAGTATTTCGAAACTTGGGTCTACTGATTCTACTGAATGTTAACAGAAGAAAACTGTATATAGATGCACGAAATGTGCTTTTTAGATATAGTCAAAATCAGTTTTAAATAAATCTATGGTAATGATAGATTTACGAACATAAACTTATTTTACTGTCAAAGACTGGAACACCTTTTGCTGGTCTCTGACCGTAAACTAGTGGAGAAATTTCTGCCCTTGTTGTTTTTATAATCATAATACTGAAATATGCATCAATTGTACGCTAACCGATTGTTTACTGTAGGTCCGGAGGGTTGCAACCTCTTCATTTACCACTTGCCGCAAGAGTTTGGCGACGGAGAGCTCATGCAGATGTTTTTGCCCTTTGGCAATGTCATCAGTGCCAAGGTTTTCATCGACAGAGCTACTAATCAGAGCAAGTGCTTCGGTAAGATATTTATCCCGTTGAGGTCACTTACTTCCAAATTTCGAACACTGATGATGTTCTAAATAAAACCCACAGTAATTTTTGCATAAATGTTCGTTTTTATTTCTTTTCACCTTTCCTTATATTTGACTCTCATTGCAGGATTTCTTCATTTCGAACTTCAAAAAGTTACCAATAACAGATTCAAAAAGCGCAAATCTTGTGTTACTCAGGGTGTTCTTGAAACACCACTCTAAATATACTATTATTAAAAAATTAATTCATTAAATCACACGCTAATAGCCTTTGTTTCATATTAATTAAGTAGCAAATCTCAAATTCAAGTTAATAACAAAATCATACAGCTAAGCGTTGAAACTGATAGTAAAAACTGTTCTGACGTTTAGTTTTTGATTATTTTGACGTTTAAACCTATTCTTCATGATGACAATAGTTTCACTTTTTTAAATTATTAGGAATAAAAGCTAATGAAACTGTCTTCTTGAGACTTCCAATTAAAAAAGCGAATTGTTTCAATTTCAAATTCGATTGAGAATAATCCTTATTAATCATATTTTGGTAAATTTAGCTTCATTTATTGATTTAAACGAGTCTCCTTATCTCCCGACATAAAATTAGATTAGATTCATAAAATTAGATTTTAAAAACTCTGAAAACTGAGAAACTTGAAGTTTTAAATTACTTACTCAAAACCACGAATCACATCATTTTATTGCGGTAAAGGTTTAAGGAAAAATTCATAAAACTTATAAAAATTATCAAGCCTTATTTTTCCTAATCTAATAATGCTAGCCCTTTATTTTCTACCTTTTTTAAAAGGTATTTTGCTGCCTTATAAATACTCTGTCATCAAAAGTTTGTGAAGTATAAAAAAGAAAATATGAAGAAAACGCAAATTACAAATGTAACCTAAAATCCAAGATGTCGGGGATAAAAGAACTCAGACCATTTAAGTAACGTACATTTAAAGTTCAAGCATCGTTCTCCTCTAGATAAATATCTGAATACAATCGAAAAAATCTGAATCGACGTTAAAAAATCAAAATATTAAATTAAGTAATTATAGTTCAAACTGAAATATTTAATACCCTAAATCAGTGTTAAGCAAACTTCTATATTAAATAGTCTAAATTAGTATTAATCAAACTGATATGTAGAATAACCATTCCTTAATTTATACTCTTTATGATTACTAAATTCGTCACAATTTTTAAAAATTTGATCCATTGAATCTTTCTAATAAAGGTTAAATAAATTGAAGTGAAAAAATTATCTGAGCCTAAGTAAAACACGCTGGACAATAATACTGATTCAAATCATTATCAAAAAACTGAAATTAATATAATTTGAGCTAATGTCAAAAAAAATTTAAAATATAAATTAACTAATTCTATGTTAAAATGAATTATTAAGTACTCAAAACCCATGCTAACTAAACTGTAGTATTAAATAATCTGAATCAGTATTAATCAAACTAAAATGTAGAATAACGATTTCTAAATACATATTATTTGAGACAATACTAAATTCAAATCAATATTAAGAAACTTGATGCATTGACTGATTCTAATTAATTTTAAAGAAATTGAAATGAAAATTATCTAAGGTACTGTAAAACAAGCTGAACAATATACTGACCCAAATCAATATCAAACAAACTTAAATCAAAATAAATTGAAACAATGTTAAACAAACTAAACTACAGAATAATCATCTATTAATTAAGATTATATAAAAAAAAAAAATTATTGAACTTGAAGAAATTTAAACACAGACTGGCACAAACCAACGTTAAAACTTTTCAAATATCAAATTAGCTTATCAGAATCAATTTTGAATAAATTGAAATGATAAAATTAAGGTTGCGTGTATATCAAAAAAAGGTAGTTCATGCATTTTGAAAAAGAATAATAGATTTTTCAAACCATTATTCTAATTGAAAATAAATGTTGCAGCATAATATTTTATTGCTCTTTTTTTATTTCCATTGCCATTTACTTTTAAATCCTGTACTGCATATTTTGCTTATTTACTAATCTTAAATATACTCGTCTTAATTTTTATTCACAAAGCATTCTTACATTTTTAACGCTTGCCCTAACCCATTTTTTTTTCATCAAACAGAAAGCATTCCTTCAAATGATTAAGTATTCCACCTGTTTTTCTGCATTTTTTCTGCTTTCTTGAATTTTAAATTCAAGTCCAGATTTATTCTAAAAATATTCCGTCTTTTACAACCAATTTAAAATCGTGCATTCAAGCTTTAATTCAAATCTCTTGTTTCGGGGGATTAAATTGAAAAGGCATCCTTCATTCTTTTTATGTATTTTTTCCAGTTCGTAATCTTTAACAAAATCAACATTAACTTCTCGTTTGAATTCCATTTAAACCTGGAGGGTCTTTACTAAGATTCCCTATTAGTGTAGCATTTAAAGTAGAATGTAATACCTTTTCATCAGATTTTTGAAATCTTTATCTTTCTTCTTTAGTAATGACCTTAATCTTTTTTATTTTTTCACTATTTTAGTTGTTTCCAGAATTACGCTAATCTTGTTAAATATCCCTTGATTTTTTCCCTATTTATTTACTCTGTTTTTCTTCAGAAACAATTTTTTTTTTCAATTTGTAATATAAAAAGAAGAAGAAACTATTTTTTGAGGGTCTATGTTTTTAATTTTTTTTTCTTTCTTTTTTCTTCAGTTTCAGGAACAAACAAAAAATATAAGTTTAAATCATTTTTAAAAATTCTTCACCGATTTTCTTAGATACATACATTTTATGCTTCGTAAGAAATTGTTAACTGAAAACACTTTTTTTAATTGAAGCTTTATTTAAATTAGAAAAGCATCTTTCATTATTTTTATGTATTTTTTCAAGTGTTTGTAGTCTTTAATAAAAAATTCAACATTACCTTCTCGTTTGAATTCTATCTAAACCTGGAGGCTCTTTACTAAAGATTCCCTATTAGTGCAGCATTCAAAGTAGAATGTATTACATTTTCATCAGGTTTATGAAATCTTTCTTCCTTAGTGATATATATATACATATATATATATACATATATATATATACATATATATATATATATATAGCCATCATGATCCTGTGTGAGTTACTTTTTCAGAAGATGATGTCAAGCAAAATTGTATTCCTCCATTCAAGTTTTGTTAAATTGCTAACATTGTTCCATTTTTTTCTTCTTCTTCTCACCNATACATACATATATATATATTCTGTTTTAATTTTTTATTGAATTATGTATTGTTTATCTTTCATGTTATACTATTTTTCTTAATTTAGATTCCCGATTAATGTTTCTTATCATGTCATTAGTTCCATAGATTACCAAAATAGGATAATCTTTCCAAAATATCTCTTTATTTTAATTTTTCCTTATTTAGGTGCTTTTTTCCTTAAAGAAATTAATTCCTCTCATTTTTAATTTACAAGAAAGAAATTGCTTGTGAAAAAAAATGGTTATTTTTATTTAAAATATTTACTTCTCTTTTTCAGATTCAATATTAAAATTGCTAATCATTTTTTTTTCTTTAATTTTATAAGGAACTTTGTTAGCGCAATTTTATTTTTGTTTTAATTGCATTTTTATTCTTAGTGAGTTAATTAAAAAGAATTCTTTGCTTAAAATTAGTTATATATTAGTTAACTTTTCGCAATATAATTCCGTATAAGAATAGAACACCTTCAGAAAAAATACTTTTAAGTTGAACAGTTAAAGCTGAAACTTTTTCATCAAATTGAAAATTTTTCATTTTTCCTCTTTAGTAATAACCATAATCTTTCTCATTATTTTACTATTCTAAAACTTTAATAAACTTATCTTGGAATAAGTTAGTCGTGTTAAATATTTCTTACTTTTTCCCTATTTATTTACTATATTTCTTAATGAAAATATTTTCCTTAATCTGTCAATTAGAGAAATAGATTATATTTTTTTTTATGTTCTTTTTTTCATGTTTTCTTGATAAAAGAGTAAACTTGAAAATAAGTTTTCATTTCCGTCTTAAATGAGCAAAACATTGATTAAATGTATTTAATTTCAAATTAAACTTTAAAAAATTTCAATTTACAAATTTTATTTTGGAAATATTTGTTTACTTTTGATTTGAAACCCGTTAAAAGTTCTTGATGCTCAGAAAGTCCAGATAGTTGAACACTTATAGTTTGTTCTAATACCTTTTCATTCGGTCTTTTAATTTTTATATCTCTTTTTTAATAATAATCTTAATCTCACTAAATAGTAAACTAATTTTATAGCGTTCCGAAATAAGTAAAAATCATTAAATAGTCCATAAATTTTCTTTATTTAAATACTCTTGAAGAAAAGTATTTTCTTTATTTTAGCATTCAGTAAGAGATAAATAAAATATTTCTAGAATAAAGCGGTTTAAATTTTTTAGTTTATTCTTTGCCTTCTTTTTCTCAGCTCCTTTAATCAAACAGTAAGAGTGTTAAATTTTTCTACGTATTTTTAATCTTATCCTCTTTTGATATAATTTTTATTACAAGGACTTTTTTCTTATAATTAAATTGAAAAGATATTTTTACTTAAATTTTGAAGTTAGAATTTTGAACTTGAATGCATTTATTTAATCTTAAATTAAATTAGAGAAATTTAATTTTCCAATTATTAGTTAAAACTTTAATTAATTCCTTATTTTAATCCATTCAAACTTGTAAAGTCTTTGTTGCGATTCCTTAACGCAGAATATAGTACTTTTAAATCAAAATTTGAAAAATTTTTCCTTTTTTTCTCTTTTTAATAATCTTAATAGTTGTAATACTTTAATTTTTGCTATCACACTTTTTTTTAATTTTTAAATTGTCTTATCTATACTTTTTTTATAAAACAATGAATTATAGAATAAATTTATTAACACTTGTTGTTGTTTTTTTCTATTTTGATTAAACAAAATTTGAAAACAGTAAATATGATTTTTTTTTTCAAATCTCAAATGCACAATATGCAAATAATAACATTACATGAGTGTGAAAAAATTGAAAAATTGACAATTTAAGTAAAAAAACTATTATTTAACTTTAATTTGAACTAAAAAAATACTAAGTTGCTTTAATTTCAGTTTAAAATTTTTGCTTATTGACTTACACTTTAAATTTCAAAAAATTTTAATTAAATTCTTAAAACCACGAAATTTACTAATTTTATGAGTTTTAATTTTTATTTTCATTGAAACGTTCTCAAACATTATTACTATCAATTTATTAAAAATTAAGAAAGTTTTGCTCAATTTTTTTTTATTAACTTCAAAAAACTTTATTTATGTATACTTAAATCTTCAGAGTTCGTTCAAAATATTACAAAACTTCCACGACAAACTCATTCAAAATGTTATTTTCATGAAATTAGAAGCATTATAAATATTTAAAACAAACTCCCCTCTTCGAATCCCAAATGAAATTCTTAAGGTACAACTTATTTACTTCATCAATTTACTAATTCTTATCATCTACCTTGGTGGCAAAATAAGAGGGGAACTTATGAATAAAAGAACACGTTTTCGATTGATTAAATGCAGATTAGAAGCTATAAACCATAATGACTTCATCATTTCAGATAACTGCGCGGAAGCTTTCTTATAAAATAGGAAAAGGGCGGATAACGGACACCTCCTCAAATAGCTCCAGACATCTGGCTCAGAGATTGAGAGCCATTCTTTTCCATTCCCCCTAAAATAAGATATCTCTTCGAAGTTTGATGAAAGTTACACAAGATTGTCGGTGAAAGTGAGTCCGTCCCCCCAACCCCCCATCAAACGACTTACCCTTTAATTTCAAGCTCTAGCATCAAGAAGCAGATTTCCATAATAGGCAGTAAATATATTACCTGCTGCAGGCTTTCAGAGATGAAATAGCCTCCGCCATTTTAGCCTCTTTGAAAAATAGAGTGTATCAATAAATATCGCCACCGCTTATGCAAATGAAATGACCAGAACGATATAAACGAGCTTCCTGAAACGACTTAACCATGACTCAAGACGTTGTTTAATGCTCAGGCCGTGATCGCGAACTCGTCCTTGGTAATTTAGACGTCAAATATCTAACGGAATGGACATATTTATCCTGTCCCCGCAGAGTTGACGGTTTATAAAGGAGACCCTTTGCCTCACTGTAGTTGGACGTCTTTATCCAATCTACCATGTGGGTCGCTCTTTTGCTGCTTTAATGATTACCCGGGTTGAGATATATTCCTCTACCCCTTTTCCCCATATTATCGATACCCGAACCACCCACTTGGAATAGAATAAGGGTCAGGATATATAAATATATATAGAGAGAGTTGGAGAACCGCTCCATCAAACGGGAGAACCGATATAATGTTATTTTACTAACAGTCTGCCACCACCAATAACATTGATTCTAAGTTTCTGTAAAAGCTTTTCCTTATTTAAAGGTATTAGATAGTTGCTATGCTCCTTAAACGTGGTGTTTTATGTGTATTAAAATAATAAAAACAGACTTAAGATTAGATAAAGCTGTTTTTTTCGGATGATTTAAGTTTAAAAAAGATTCTCCATATACTTTCATAAGAAATATATTAAGAATTGGTTTGCATATTTTTCACTAATGTAGTAGAATTAATTGTCTGCTAAAAAGATAGCAAGGTAGATTCATAAAAAGATAGATGTTGTGAGATGGGCTATTCTGCAATGACCGCTCTTCATATTTTTTTAAAATTCTTTAATTGAATTCAGAAGATTATACACATTAAGGGTCGTAAAATTAATAATAAAACGAGAGAAAAAAAGCAAAATTAACCTTTGAAATTTACCTTAAATTAACCTTGTAATTTCCTGTAAAACCGCAATCTAATTTATGAGTTTAAATATGCGTTAATTAAGTAAAATTTAATTCACAATTCAAAAGATTTTAAGAAGAACCCACACTGTAGAAGATTCGTATCAAATTACGGTATGATTACGGCACTTTGGGTACATCATCCGTAAAATCCCTTTTATAGATTAGAATGACTCAGTGATTATACGGTAATTATTCCTGCAAAAATTACGGTACATCATATTTTTACTTCCGTAACAAGTCCCGGTAAAGATGGATTTTACGGTAAACAGTACCGTAATATCGGTAATTTCTTAGAATCCATTACATTTTTAAACTCTTCATCCCCATTTATTACTAAATATAAATGGACTTTCAATTTTTTTTGTTAGATCCGAGTCCAGTTCATTTGTTAATTCTAAAGATAATTAATAACTAATTATCTTTAGAATTAACAAATAATTAATAATTAATTTTTTCAATTATTTTTTAGTTTATAATTAATTTTTTAAGTGAAATTTTTACTCTTATTGACATGGTACTTTCTATTTCGAAAGGTTTTGTGAGCTTCGACAACCCCGCTAGTGCCCAGGCTGCCATCCAGGCTATGAACGGCTTCCAAATAGGCATGAAACGCCTGAAGGTTCAACTGAAGCGTCCAAAGGACGCTAATAGACCCTACTAGAGTCGAGCGCCCGCCTCTACCGATCCTCTACCTGAAACAGGTAGGTTTTCTTTTTTACCACAAAATACGGTTGTTTTATGTATTTGTCTTATATATTGTATTCATTTATGCCTCTATTGTACAACCTGGACTTTGGAACTCTTTTTTTTTTAAAAAAAAAACTAGAAATCAAGCTAAAAAAATAAATCCAATCGTAAATGCTAAAAATAATAGTTGACAGTTTAAAGGCATTAGACAGCCTAGTACATACCAGAGCTCTCCTGATAAGTCGTTTCCATCTAGCTCGATCGGGCACTAGGTTTCTCAAACTTCATTTATGCCCCTATTGTACAACCTGGACTTTGGAACTCTTTTTTCCTCTCTCTCCTAGTACATACCAGAGCTGTCCTAGTAAGTCGTTTCCATCTAGCTCGATCAGACGCTAGATTTCTCAAACTTCATTTATGCTTCTATTGTACAACCTGAACTTTGGAACTCTTTTTTTTTAAAAAAACTTGACATCAAGCTAAAAAAATAAACGCGATCGTAAATACTAAAAATAATAGTTGACAGTTTAAAGGAATTAGACAGCCTAGTACATACCAGAGCTGTCCTGATGTGTCGTTTCCATTTAGCTCGATCAGACGCTAGATTTCTCAAACTTCATTTATGCCTCTATTGTAAAACCTGAACTTAGGAACTCTTTCTTTTAAAAACTAGACATCAAACTAAAAAAATAAACACAATCGTAAATACTAAAGATAATAATTGACAGTTTTAAGGCATTAGACAGCCTAGTACATACCAGAGCTGTCCTAATAAGTCGTTTCCCTCTAGCTCGATCAGACGTTAGATTTCTCAAACTTCATTTATGCCTCTATTGTACAACCTGGACTTTGGAACTCTTTTTTTTTTTTTAACTAGAAATCAAGCTAAAAAAATGAACGTAATCGTAAATACTAAAAATAATAGTTGATAGTTTAAAGGCATTAGACAACCTAGTATATACCAGAGCTGTCATAATAAGTCGTTTCCATCTAGCTCAATCAGACGCTAGATTTCTCAAACTATTGATGCCCATGGTTTTAAGATATTTTTCCGTCTGGGGTTGAACTTTGATCCATTCGGTTGCCTGTAAACGAGAATCATTCCATCTAGTATTTAATCTTCCCCTTTTGCAAAAGTCAACTTCTAAACTGGATCATCATCATCCTTTCTTTAGATTTGATCCAGCCATCTTATTCTATAGGATTTAATAACTGAAATTATGTTTGGTTGCTTAAATTTTCTGTGCAATTCATAATTGTACTGAATCCGCCAAACATCGTTTTCTTTAACAGCTCTCAAGATGGCTCTGAGTATTTTTCTTTCAAAAAACTATTTCCTGTAAAAGAAAAGTTTTCACCAGTTCTTAAATGAATTTCCGAGTGTTTAAGCACTTAAAATTCGTGTTGAATTTTATAATGGCCCATTTAGGTCGATTCCTGCTAGTTTTTTTTTCTGTTAAAAATGCACGACAATCTCGTTAAAATAGTAAGACCAATACTTTGATATTAATATTGAATCAAGTTCTTTTATTACTCAATATTTCATTTTATTGAATTTGATTTTGTTGCTTTAACCCTTGCCTTTACACCAGTTTGTTTATTTATAAATATACCTATTTTCAATTTGTAACTTTGCATCTTCCATTGAATTTGGTTTGGGGTAACTATGATGCCTCATAGTATGCCTCACCTGATGCAGATAAATTTATATTAAATCAAAGCATTTTAATTTATAACAAGCAAACTTAAATCTTTATTTTCAATTATTCACATATTTTGAAACGAAACTGAACCATAAAGTTTAAATTTAATGTTTTGAAATTTATAGCAACATTATTCAGGTAGCCAAAATGTTAATGCCTTTTAAGCGAAAAAAAAATTAATATTAAATAATAAATAAAGTAGTCATAATTAGTAATCAAAATATTTACTGAACATCCATTACTTTGGAGCAAAAAATAACCCGAAATATGATTGCTTAAGGTATTCATTTTATTATATATGAAATTTATATCTAATGAATGTTATTCATCATATAATAATTTACATAAAAATTAAGTTTCTTAGTTACATTTAAAGCAAAATCTTAAGCAAAACACATCATGATGATAAAGCTAAATTTACTACCGAAAATTCTTTAAGTTCATCGCATAATTTTGTCACAACAAACATTTTTAGGAGAAACAATTGTCTGACTTTAAACTTTATAAAGCTAAACTAAAAATCATATAAATAAGCAAGTAAAATTTATATTTGGTCGATTTATGTTTGTTGAAAGCTAAACTAAAACAAATCATAATGACAAAACTACATAGCTACTTAGCTAAAATTTTAGATCTAAAATTTTCAATTTTATTGCATACTTTTTGCTTCAACAAACATTTTTGTAGTACAAAATTTCACATTTTAGATTTGATAAAATTAAACTTACAAATAAAAGTTGAAGTTTAAGTTTTCTAGTTGAAATATTCTTAAAATTCAATACTTTGTTGATTTATTTCGTCAACAAGCTAAACTGACATAATGGCAAAATTCATAGTTGGTTAACGAAAGTTTAAATTTGTCATTGTTAAAATTTAATTGATCTTTTTTTTGGGGGGTGGGGGTTCAAACAGTTTTTTTAGTACAGCGAAATTTCACCTTTTAGATTTGATAAAACTAAACTACTAATGAAAAGTAGAAATCCGTGTTTGTTAATTAAAATGCACTGATAAATTTCAGTATTTCGATTAATTAATTTATTAACAAACTAAGAAGCGCATTGTAAAGACAAAATCCATAGTTGATTGCCAAAATATTTATTTAACAATCTTTAATTTAATAGCATATTTTTTGCCACAACAAGCATGATTGTATCATAAAAGATTAAACATTAGACATAATAAAAACTAAACTAATGACTAAATGCTGAATCGCTTGCTTGTTATTTAAAACAACTACGATAAAGATTATCTTGTTCTCCAGATTTACTATTTCAAAGGATTTTTGAATTCCAATATTCATTCTCTAAGAAAAGAATTGCTATTTTTTTTAACCTGTTAATCTTGACTGGAAAACTAAATCTCCAGGGACTAAAACTAGAAATGATTTACATTCTATAACGCCAGAAAGCAGATAAAAATATTGAAAAAAGTTTGAGCAACTGAGATAAAATGCTAGACAAGGCATTCGAAAACAATCTTTTGGGTAATGAAATGCATGCAAATGTCTCCCCCCCCCCTTGCAAAGAATAATTGAAAACACTGCTCGAGGTATAATGTTCTTGTAAGACGTTCGATAAATTCAACATTTTTCTTACGTTTTTCTTCAGGGACACAGCTTAAGTCTAACAAAACAAGTTTTAGTATAAAAATCGGGACAACTTTTCAACGAAGTCGTGTCTACAGGGACAAAGAAGTGAATGCAATTGCACGCAAAACTCGGCTTTAGTTAGCAGAAGAGAAAGCTAATCTTTCATAAAAGGCAATTTTTCATCTGCAATAAGGAAAAATAATAATTTTTCTCTTACAAAACGAGTTTTTAGAGTGATATATTGCTTAATTTAATCATCCACGATTTAATCAAAGGATAATAACTTAAAAAGAATGAAAAGAAAAAAATATATAAATTGGGAGGAAAGAAAGTACCGTTGTTTTTTCTCTCTTTTTTGTACCAGCAAAAATAAAATGTGATTAAATCTAAACAAAATTTTCTCTTAATAATTACATTTATTTTATCATTTTCAAATGCGAAAAATTAGTTCAACTATTGCAAAATATAGCTTGTGTTTTAAAGAACTATTGTAAAGAGTACTTTAATTTGCAATTTTACTTACTTTGATTCACATGTAGCACATTTAGCACATTTAATTCCCATGTAAACTATATACATGCTTTTTGATGCACATATGTAAATTAATTTACAAGAGTCAGGAAAGAAAATGTAAATTGTCGTGAAAAATAATGTCCTTACTTAATATTTAACCATCATTAGCTCAGCAAAATGGATTCAATTAATTTATCTCAAAATATTTATATGCAAAAATTCCAAACGTTAGAATTTATTATTGTAGGCAACTAGTTTAAATTTCTAGGCGTTGCTAACCATTTTTGCTGTTAATTTTAATTGGACATAACCATTGAAGTTACTTTTATACTTAAGTTCTGAACTTAGCATTTTAAAGCCCAATTATAAGATTGACAAGAGTTTTATAAGAACTCAGTTATTAAAACATTTATGCGTGATGTTTAGGAAAATACACTTTTCCCAATTAATATACTTGCAAAACTTATAAATATAAACGCAGTACAAACAAATTTTCCTTCATAGTTACCTTCCACACAATGAAATTTGTTTAATAAAAATTGCATAGAGTCGGTGAGTTTTAAATATGAATGCAGTTGAAAATTTATGTTTTCGAAATTTATCAAAGCTTAAAACGCCTGTTTACGAAAATGGATCAATTTCAAAATGCGTGTTTGCAAAAATAAAGAAATATCGAAATGCATGTTTTAAAAAATGGACTAAGTTCGAAATGCGTGTTTACGAAAATGGACAAATCACGAAATGCGTGTTTACGAAAATGGACAAATCTCGAAATGCATGCTTACGAAAATGGAAAATTCTCGAAATGCGTGTTTACGAAAATGGACAAATCTCGAAATGCATGTTTACGAAAATGGACAATATACATAGACCTCTCGAACCTCTAGTCTGAGTACTTTTCCCCATATTGATTATGCTATTTTTTATAAATTCCTTTAAATTTCAACTCAAATTTAAACATTTTTGTTGTATTTTTAAGGCTTATGTAGTCATTATTAATATTGTTTAGAGCAACAATGTAAAAATGCAGCACTGCAAGATTCCACGTGCTGTAATTGTTATCCAAACTACGAAAAGAATTTAGTTTTTAAAGCATTTATGGACAATAACACTCCTTAAATGAATTTACATATTTTCACACACATGAATTTATCACGTAGATTTTTCAAATTATAATTTTTCTTCTATAGTTTAAATAAGTAAGTTTAGT